TCTTCTTCAACTGAAACTTTAAAGAAACATTTAGAAAAGAAACATCCTACTGAATACCAATGTAAATTTTTTTACTAAACTTTTTAAATGAGTATGTGTGTTAAGTCTATTAAATGTTTGAATTGATAGAGTGATCTATTTAGTTGTACAATATTTTCATTATTATTTTAGATATAATTATTTATTTTTTTTTAATAATATCAATTGCTTTTGTATTTTTTTCTAATGTAAAAGTAGAGCATTTAATATGCAAATCTAATATTGTTATCACAATTATTGTATTATTAATGATTTTCCAATAGTCATTTAATTTGTAAGTATAGAATTTACTACCAAATATTGTATTTCATTATTTGAAATTTCATATTGCAAATGTTGGATTAAAGTTCAAAATGTTAAGCAAAGATCTTTAATTGTTAGATATATTGATAATGAAAGTATTAAAGTAGCAGAGTAAAATAGTAATAGAACAGATACAAGTTTCTAAGAATAAAAAATTAAATAATTAATACTTACTTATTAATTATTATTTACTATATTTAATTAAACTTACATTTAAATTTTTCCAATCAATATTATCAAAAAAAATGTTTGTAAATTCATCTAGATGTTGTACTATAAGTATATTTGCTTGAATTTTTATTTGAATCATTTTATTAATTATTAGAAATGTAGAATTCTAGCATATTTCAATATCAAGTTGTGATAATAGAAATTCAATAGATTGAGACTCAAATATATATCGTAAATCTTCTAAAAGTATAATAGAATTGTGAATCTTAATTATGAATTTTCTGACTTTATCAACAGATGCATTATGTATCTGCAACTCATATTACATGAATATGTGTTCCACATCGAAAATAAGAAAAATTAATATTATTAAATTTATTTTTCAATTCATTTACCATTTTTCTTCTATAAACAAGCATAGATTGAGCATTATCTGTTATCATTGCAAATGTTTTAGATAATAAATTTAATTCTGAAAATAAATTTGTTAAGGTTTGTGTTATATTTTTACCAGAGTGTAATTTATGAAATGGTATTATATTAAGTAAAAAATGTCTAAGCATCTAATTATCATCAATATAATGACAAGTTACTCCAAGAAATGCAGTATGACTATTATCAGAAGTTCATATATCAGTGGTTAAAGATATTTCACTTTTAATTTTTTCAATTTTATACTTCAAGATTTTATGCTAATTCTTCCTTTATTACTGAGAATGGCTGCATACTCATTACTATTCAGTCAATTAAACCTTTACTTTTTTCAAAGTTTTCTTTATGATTATATGGATGCATTTGTTGAAAATTTAAGGTTGTTTGAGTAAATTTACATTGGTATTCAGTAGGATGTTTCTTTTCTAAATGTTTCTTTAAAGTTTCAGTTGAAGAAGAGCTACTATATACAGTTACACATATTTGACATGTTTGCGATTCTTTTGTCTTGGTAAAAAATTCATTTACTTGAGATGAAGATGACAAGGTTTTGTTATTTCTTATTGGCCCTCCATTAGATTTTTCAGTTCTATCATCAGTTATATCATCACTAATAATATCAAAAGAAAATTCACTAGACATTTTTGCAATTTTCAAGAGAAAAGGAGAGCAGAAATCGAAAAGTAGAAATTACATGTGAATAATTTATTAATTAGTAATAAACTTTTTTGATCAACATGCCTTATATAATTATATTGTATTGGTTATAAAGCCATTTTCTCGAATATAAAATATCCCAAAATTGGCCATTTTTCCAAAATTTCTAATATCCTAAATCCTAATATCCCAAAATTCCAATTCCCTGAATCCTGATTTTCTGAATTCTAATTTCTGAAAGTATAATATAAAAAATTAAAAAATTATTACAATCATTAATAATTTTCTATATACTGTTTAATTGTTACATATATGTCTATGCAAAGTAAAATCTGTCCGCCCGATCACGTAACACATTACAATCAATCGTCTGAATTTTGCGGACAAATTTTGACTTTAGTATATGATAATATTACAATATCTAAATAATAATATTTATCTAATAAAAAAAACACAATTTATAAAACGTGCAGTTAAACAAGTCCGCTTCGAAAATTTATAAGTACGATATAGGAATTACAGTTAAAACATTTTTGTGCCTCAAAAAAAAAATTAATCCAAAAGTCCGTTCTTAATAAGAATATTAAAAATAGTTGCAGAAACAAACTCACAAAGAAAGTATTAATAATTTTCGCTTTATTAAACTTCGTGAATATTTACAATAAATATTTTTACAATCCAAGTTTAGACATAATCTTAACCCGTTATAAATGGCCGCAGTAAAAATTATTTTTAAAAATTGTTATTAGAAATTTCGGGAAAATGTCCAATTCGGGATATTGGAATTTGGGAAAGTGACTTCGGAAAAATGTATATTCGGGAAAGTGGCTTTCGGGAAAGTCGTCTGATAACGGTTTGGAACCGTGGTTTAAACTATAGGTTGAAATATAGTTTGACAAACCATGGTTTAAAATATTCAAACCGCTTAGTATCAGTTTGGTTTCAAACTGCGGTTAAACCAGTTTCACCTAAAACCGATACCATCACCTACAGATATCGATAAATAAAATTACGTCGAAACATCAGAACGATCACATGGATTGAACGGAATCACTTCACAAAGTAAAAGCAACTCTATTATATTAGGTTGCATTTCCTTTGTGGGCCAGAACAACCATGTGGAACAAACGTAATCATCTTTGCAACATTGTTTATGTATTATTTAACCTTTTCATTGCATTAATAAACATATTGTTCCGGCGAAAAGCCCAGAGGAAATTAAAGTAAGTAAAAACGCGTTAAGTATGCTAAATTTATACTCTCTGATGATTGATCTGCTAAATTTTCCGGATTTATATGCATACCCGATTTATTAAGTTGCAAATTGTCACGTAAGTGTCAAAATGTCAAAATGGTACAAAATACTGTAACTGTTTAATATATTACATATTTGATATCCAACTGGAAATTTATAATCTGATAGTAAAAATTTTTAACACTGGTAACAAATTTCCGTTTAGAAACCTATGATATGTTAACATTTAGTAGTATATAGTAAAATATTAAAAAAATATAATTAAATAACAAATTACTCACAGCAATTACAATCAAATGGGCATAATTGTGTATCTTAAAAAAGAACATTCAATAAATTTTTGGTTCAATGAATTAAAATAATTAAACTTTTTTTTACTGGAATTACCTCCTCCTCGACCGATATTCAATTCTTTAATGTCAAAGATTGGCAGTCCATCTTCCGTAATTCTTCCTAGATATTTAAAAGGCAAATTAAAAATAAGATTTCACAAGATAATAAATATTTAAAAAGAATGAGAATAATGTTATACGGTTTTTTGTCCCTCGGGAATCACTAAATCCGTCATCGTCATTCAATTTTAACTTTCGTTTGGTAGATTGCGATTTACTAGGAATTGCAGGAACTTTAAAAATAAATTCATCTACTTTTTTTTTGTTTATGGAGGAAGAAGACGATGATGATACCGTTGGGGAAGTCGGTTCTTGTGATTTTTGAGGTTGAAAATTCGTCGACACTTTTTTACTCTTTACAGTCGCGAAAATATCATCAATCTCATTTTTACTTTTTTCTACTATAATTTCATGATTTTTATCTGTAGTTGGCTTGTCATTATGTTGTTTTTTTATGGGTAAATAGGGTGTGTTGCCTTTTTCGACTTTGCTTTTTTTGTCATTTTTGGATTTTGTAAAAGACATTCGCAAAAAAAAAAAAAAATTACTTCCGAATAACCGAATAAAAAATCACTTGTGTAACTTATTTTTCAAATGCCAAGCTAACTAATAATGAATAAATTCCGCCAAATTCCTTAGATAACTTGGCAAATCGGATATAAAAAGGAAGGGATTCACCATACTTTTCGTAAATTTCAAAAATAATTTTCAAAAATGAATGCAATGCAAATAGCAAAAAAATTTCCTCAGCTTTCGCAGCAAGATGCTTTCGATCTCGTTGCAAAGTTCAAGTATGCTTTTTAAGAGTTTTTTTTTTCTTTTCTTTTTTTGAAATCTTTATACGATTTAAATAAGAATTAACGCGTCTTATATAGCAAAATCGACCTTGATGGTAATGGTGCTCTCGAACAAAAAGAAGTTGTAAAGGCTTTACAAGTGATGGGTGAGAGTACTTCGTATGACGAAATCCGAGCTACCTTGAAAGAAATCGACTTAAGTTCAACAGGCAATGTTGAAATTGAAGAATTCATTGAGGTAACCTTATTAAATATATATATATATATATAATTTGGTCTTTGATTTCAACTTTCTATTACAATAACTTATTTATAATTTAATTTTTATCATTAGCTTGTTGTAAAACTTAGGGAAGGTCGTAACAAAACCGCTTTTGCAGTTAACAAACAAAAAATCACTGTTCATGGTACCAGTCAAAATGTTTCACACACTATTAATGAAGATGAAAGAACTGAATTCACGAGGCATATCAATCAGGTACTGATTAATGACCCTGATGTTAAGGATAAAATCCCGATAGATACAAATACTATGCAATTATTTGATGAATGTAAAGGTAAATATAATTCGTTATTGCTTTGTTAAGAAAAAATATGATTTCTAACAATATCAATATTGATCATCTTTATAAGATGGGTTAATTCTCGCAAAACTTATTAATGACTCCGTACCGGACACAATTGATGAACGAGTTCTAAATGTGCCTGTAAAGGGAAAGAAAGTCAATAAGTTCAAGATGACAGAAAACAATAATTTAGTAATTTTTTCCGCAAAAGGCATTGGTTGTAATGTTGTAAATATCGGATCAGCAGACTTAATCGAAGGAAGAGAACATTTGATTCTAGGTCTTATCTGGCAGATTATCAAGATTGGACTATTAAACAAAATAGATATAAAACTTCACCCAGAGTTGTATCGACTTTTGGAAGATGATGAAACACTTGAACAATTTTTAAAATTACCTCCAGATCAAATTTTGTTACGATGGTTTAATTATCATTTAAAAGCTGCTAAATGGGATCGAAGGTATTTAAATTTTTGTTCCCCGCCTTTCTCTAATGAACTTAACTAAATCGTCATTTTGTATAGGGTTAAGAATTTTAGCAAAGATGTCAGCGATGGTGCAAATTATACAGTTCTTTTAAATCAACTTAAACCTGATCTTTGTTCACGAGACCCGTTAAATGTTCCTGATCTTCTAGAACGTGCCGAGAAGGTATTTAAAAATTGATTTCGATTAAATAATAAATATCTTTCTTTATATTTATTTATTTTCTCATATTATTTTTATTAACAGGTTCTGCAAAACGCCGAGAAATTAGGATGCAGAAAATATTTAACTCCAAAGGCTCTTGTTGCTGGAAACCCAAAGTTAAATTTGGCTTTTGTGGCTCATCTATTTAACACTCATCCCTGTTTGGATCCACTTGACGAAGAAGAAAAGGCAGAACTTGAAGAATTTGATGATAGTGATGATAGAGAAGCAAGGGGTATAATATAATTTAATAACTTCTGACGATTATCATCATTCACAAACTAATTGGCAGTATTATCAATTTTTTACAGTATTTTCCCTGTGGCTTAATAGTTTGGACGTTACTCCGGCAGTGAATAATCTATATGAAGATGTTAAGGTTCTTTTACCTAAAATTTTTTATTGACTGATTTCTTATAACGAATATTACTTAAAATTTAAATTTGTTTATTTTTATTTTTATTAGGATGGTTTAATCCTCCTTCAAGCATTTGATAAAGTTGCTCCTAATTTAGTAAATTGGAAAAAGGTTAATAAATCACCCAATTTATCTAGATTCAAACAAGTGGAAAATACAAATTATGCAATTGCAATTGGAAAAGAACTACGGTTTTCTCTTGTTAATATCCAAGGAGCCGATATTTGTGACGGAACGAAAACTTTAATCCTTGGTCTTGTCTGGCAAATGATGCGGGTTAATATTATTCAGACTTTAACAAGTTTATCCAAGGGTGGTCGAGATATTACTGATAATGATTTAATTAAATGGGCTAATGATACAGTTGCTCGTGGTAATAAATCTTCGAGAATAAGTAGTTTCAAGGATTCAAAATTAAGAAGTGGTATATTTTTGATCGATTTGTTGAACGGTATTAGGCCGGGAATTGTAGATTATGCTCTAGTAACGAAAGGCATTTCTGGTAAATGAAATTAATTTACATTTGCGATAAGTTATGATATTATAAGAATATTTGATCGAAAAAATTTTTTTGAATTTATTTTAGATGATGATGCTACACTTAATGCTAGATATGCAATTTCTATTGCGAGAAAGTTAGGCGCTACTATATTCTTATTACCAGAGGATATTGTTGAAGTTAGGCCTCGATTGGTAATGTTTCATTTTTTCATTTTATTATATGCCATATCGATATTAATATATTAACTGAATATTTGACTTCATTTTAATTACAGATCTTAACTTTTATTGGTACTTTAATGGCATTGAAGCCATTGGAATGAAATCTTAGTCCCTTAATTGTTATTGTATTATCGAATTTATATTTGTTTTTTCTTTATCTTTATTAATCATATTAGATAATTATCCCTTAATATTTATTATCGGCTAATTGTTTTGCAAAAAAAATTATCAATGTATTACATACAACTATAAATATCAACTACTGGTAAAATTAGATTGGAGCATTAAAAATCGAACATTCCTTTTTTTTTTTTTTTTTTTTGAAAAAAGAGCCATCATTTTATAAAATTCCAAATCAAAACTTATTTACTCGATTTGTCTTGAAGAAAACGTACGCTTATTTTTTAAGGCGCTCGGATCCATTACTTTGAATCTCTACAACATTTTATCAATCATGCGTTTACTAATCCACTTATATAAAGCAGAAGCGACAAATATATTCCAAATACATACATACAAAATGTTAATTTATATCATAAAGTCGATTTAAGGGAATATCTTTTACGCTCAATTTAATCATAATTTCAAAGATGTGGATTTAACATCAACAACATGTCTTATTGCCGATTTTTGAGTTCCATCCTTATCGATAATAGTAACATTCTGAAATATATTATATGTATTTTTTTTTTAAAACAAAGAACGCTCAAAATTATTCATTATGCAATAAACACCAAAAAATTCTTTTACCTTTTGTCCAATTAAAGAATCCAAAATCTTTTGTTTGGAATGCTTATTACCTAATCCAGGATTTATCCTAAAAAAAAATTATTAAATTTATGTGTATATATGTTTTACAAAATAAAATACAATAAACTTACTTTTCGATGACTTTCTTTTCACGTTCTTTTAATAACTTCTCTCTCTTCTTGGCGCGTTTCTTCGCAACACGAGCTCGTTTCTTCTCGGTCGAATCCTTTTCAGTTTCGCCCTAATAAAATATAATTCCTTACATAAGAAACTCCACTTGTTACAATTTAACATGACTTTTGCTCTTGAATATTACCTTAATTTCTCCTTTCTTTTTATCATAAACTTCTTCAGGTGCTAATAATTTAGCATCGCTAACATTAACAGGTATAACTTCTTCCATAGAAATTGCAGGTAAATCAGAAATAACGGTAATTTCCGGTTTGGGCTATTATAAATAATAAATAAAATAAATCAGTATACCCAAAACATTTTTAAACGCGAACAACGTGAACTTACTGGTTTTGGAGTATAATGGAAATTACTTAAAGCATCTAATTTATGACATAAATCCTTAAACATATTTTCGATTTCTTTATGTTCTTTCTTTAATGCCTCATCCTTCTCATTTTTCATATCTTTAGTAGTTTGTTTAACATAATCTTCTTCATATATTTCAGCTAAAGATTTCTTTGATTTCTCATCTGATATTTCAACTAATTTCGAAGGTAAAAATGGTCTAAAATTAGGATCACGTTTACGTTCAACATCGTCGAATGTTTCCTAATAGAAAAAATATATTAATGTTATTATTTTGAAATGATTTGTTGATTATTATTATTAGCTTACATCCAAAATCCTTCGTTTTATTATATCTTCAAGTTTTTCCGTAAATTGCTCAGTTATTTCAGGAACGGGCTAATATACATATTGGAAGTTTATTATTAAACTTAAAACTTCAAATTTTATAGTTGAATAATAAAAGCAGGATTACAAATTACCTTTACAATATGATCAAACTCTAAATTTTCTTCCAACAAACTATTTATAGGCCTATCTTTACTTGACGCCTAATTGAAAGGAACAAAAAAATTTATATCTACAATTACAATATTATTAAAAAAAATAACATTCTTACCTCTCCTACGAGAGTCCAATCTTTTTCAGCAACATTCTCCGTTTCAAATTGTTCAATTTGATTTTTAATTCTTTCTTGGCGTTTTTGAAAAGAAGATTTTTGCTCTTGCAAATTCAATAAAAAAAAAAATTTTTTTAGATCAATCATTTTATCAAAACATCATTCCAAATATTTATAATGTACCGTCATCATCATCTTTTTCGTCTCGAGCAAATAAATCTCGAACTTTATTATTAAGGAAATCATCATCATCTTCTGACTCTTCAAGTAGATCAACAACCCCTTTCTCTTTATTCATCGATCGTTCATATAGCTTTGATGATTTCCTCCTAAATTTTTCTTTCTTCTTGGGTGGATCAAAAAAATCACTATATTTTATATCTAAATTGTGAATAAATAATTATTAAAAATTCCTTTTACTGGAAAAAAATATTAATATTCAAATAATAACCATTAGCATTCATCTCATCAGAATCACTCAAATCATCGGGATCTATTATAAAATATTTATTAAACGTTAAAAGTTATAATTTATAGGGCCTACGAATATGTAAGGAAATAAACCTGCAAAATAATCGATTTCATCGTCGGAATCTTCAAAATTTTCATTTTCTTCAGTTGTTTTGTTAAATTCTGACAATTCAAAAAATTTATCATCTAATTCAGGATGTCTATCTTTCTCTTCATCTGTTTCATTAGAATTCTCTTTTATTTTTTCATCATCACTTTCATCATCACCTTCATCATGATTATTACGCTCATCAACATCTAAATTATGTTCATCAATATCCATTTGTAAAAGTTCATCATCTTCCATATCTTCATCGTCTATTTTTATAATGTCATCTCCCTCCTCTTCTTCATTTTCATGCTCAATAAATTTCTCTAAATTACTTAATTGTGAAGTAACATAATTTAGAAATGGTTTATTTTGTAAATTTATTTCCGCCCAAATTTGTTCATTATCACAATTATCAATTATTAATTTAAAAAATGGATTGTTTTTTATTATTGATTCATTGTCTTGTTTTAATATTGGATTATTTCGCTCTTCTTTTTTACCTGTAGAAAATGCATTAAAAAAAGTTATATTTAAACAAGTATTAATAATAAATTTTATATATTCTCTCTAGTGAATCTCGTTTACAGTAAAAATGAGCATTCTGCACTGACCATTTTAAACGATCGCAAATTTTACTCTTCTTAAATATAATAATTTATCTACCTACCTAAATCATATAATTCTTTCGTGGCATTTAAAGCTTGAGTAGATCTAGTTTCATCCGATGTAATAAATCCTTCGGGTTTATCTATAACATTTTTAACGAAAGAATTTAAGAATCTATTTGTTATAGACATATTTGAAAGAAAAGGTTCTCGGCAACACAAAACAAAAAATTTTTTTAAATAAACCGGTAACTTTAATTTTCTATCAAATTACCGGTTAGATTTTCGAAAAATCTAATGCCCAATTGCATTTATGAAATAATGTTTTATATACCTTTTTTAGTCAAATATTTATATTTTCTCTTTTAGCCTTTTCTTCTTCATTAAGCATTTTTTTTCTATTTCTATAATCTTTTTTGCAATCTTACTTTATAATAATATATCTTTTTTTTAATTTTAAATCTTCTAAATTTTGGTTTGATTTATCACTTCCAATTTATTATTCAGAATTTCAGAATTTCTAATGGATAAAACATTAATGCCACGTTTTTTTATCCTATTTTTCTTTTTAATTTATACTCTTGTTGATATATTGACACAAATTTAAGATAATATTACACCCTTTTTATACTAAATATAAAAATTACAAATTATTTACTTCATATTTAAATATTTAAATGTAATCAATTTTTATTACCTTCATTGCATCATGTTAAAGTAGTCATTTTTTGTTTATATAAACAAAAAATGACTTAGATTAGACTATTATAGTCTCAGGTAGTGTTGTACAGCAGACATTGTCTGCCTAAATTCGACAGATACAGACATTCTGAGACATGTCCAGGATTTTCATCCATTTACATGTCCTGTAACACTATAGTCAAATGGGACACGTCCGTCATTTCCAAAAACTGTTTGGAATGATATTTATATGTTCGGCAGTCTGCGCTAAGCCACAAAAAAATTTTTTAACAATATGCTGCTTCATGTTTTACTAACCAAATATATTGTTAGAACAGAAGAGAAAGCTAACAAAAGTAATCTTAAAACTTACTGTAAATCATGTATTGAAGAACTAGGAGAAGAAGAAGGATGTAAAACTTGGTTTTCAAATAAAACTGATTGAATCATCCAACATTTAAAAAATGTTCCCATTTTCTTGCCAAAATAAACAAAGAAGAATGAGAAGAAATCTTTAGGCTGAACAATAATTCTACAAATGCTAATAGTAGTACTAATACAAGCTTAATTCCTAGTAAGAGGTCATGTAAGTATTTTAAATTTTTATTTTTATTGTCATATATGATAATTATATACATTGCTTAAATAATTATTATAATTATTTTAGTTTCATCTCAATCATCATCATCATTCCAATCGTTATCATCATTTCAATTATCATCATTCTAACCATCATCTCAAATATCATCTTACCAAATAATTAACCGGTCTTTATACTATGAACCTATGGATAATTATATTGTCCAAAGTTTATCCAAAGAAAATTTAAAAAAATTTCATATATTATTACTTTGACTCTTAGTTTCTTGTGGATAGGCATTATCATGGATTAATAAAGGAATTGTTTAACTTTTTAAATTCTTTTTTTAAGTTACCTGATCATCATATTCTTGGTAATAATATTTTAAAAGAAGCTGTGACTGAAGCAGATAATGCTATGGAAATTACACTTAAAGAGGATCCAGTAGATATAACTTTAACTTTTGACGAATAGACCAATGTCAATAATAAACAGTTATTAAAAACAGTCTTATTAACCTCAAAAGAAAGGTTTTATGTTTGAAAGGCAGTTGATATTAGTTCTAAGTGTGAAAACTATACTGAAGTAATAAAAAAAATTGAAAAAATGCTTGAAGATTTAAAGAAAAAAGAAATTAATATTTGTGCTATTGTTACTGATAATGCATCAGCATATGGGGCTAAACTATTAAAATCACCTTATGGGATAAGAAATTAATTTTGAATAAATGATGATTAAAAAATGCTATGCCATAGTAAACATTTTTAACCAATAATAAATTGTTTTATTTTTAAATATTAAGTTGAATTAATTATTAAGATGATACTAAAATTTATTATTTTAAAATTTTTACTATTAAATTATTATTTTATAATATTTAAAATTTTGCTATTATAAAATATATAAAATTTATTATTTAAAATTATTTTATAGAACTAATTTTTGTAAAACTTGAAATCAATTTCATACCACTTGAGATTTTGCTATTAAAATCACCCTACGGGATATTATTACACTAATTTATTAAAAAAAGTTTAATATTAAAAAAATTTTTTTTTTAAAAAAAAATATTTGTTAGGATTTTAAATGCCTCCTAAATCCCCATTCAAATATACATTCAAACTATTAATAATAGTTTTAATTAAAGTTAAAAAATTTTGAATTTTATAAAGATTCGAAACTTTTTAACTTTTTGAATAATAATGTTAATCATTTTTGATCAAGTTGCATATGACTTTATAATATAATTATATTATAAAGTCACATACGACTTAGATTAGGTTATGAAAGTAACTTCATAGTCTACTAGTAACATCATAATATAATGATAACTTCATAGCCTATTGGTAATTTTATAGTTTACTAGTAACATCATAATATAATAGCAACTTCATAGTCTATTGGTAACCTCATAATATAATAGTGATATCATAATCTAATTATACGATCTGGTGGTAACTTCATAACCTACTACCCATAATCTGATAGTGATTTCATAACCTACTTATGGGTAGTTTCTTTACGTTTATAGCATTGTTTCAACTATTTCCTGTATAATATAGCAGTAACTTTATAGTTTAATAGTAATTAGTAGTGTTTTAATTTAATGGTGATGTCATGATCTAATAGTGACTGCTTTCTTCTTGTTCCTAATCTGTTTATATAATAAAATCTATATTGTTAGTTTTGACTTTCCAGTCTTCTTTGAATACCTAGTTCTATAATGAGGGTGTTGGCCCTCTATGTTAGTTTAGATATTAGTTCTATATTAAGAATTTGCACCTATTTAGTTGCCTTTCTAGATGCTGAAATAGTGTAAAAAAAGGTGATGGGTGATATAGTAAATTTGATGTAAATTCGCGTCTAAATTTGGCTAGCATTATGGCATAATTCAGGCTGATCTTGAGGACATGTGATTTGGAGGATCTAAGCTGACACCATAGTAGTGACTTAGTAGTATTCTAAAGCTGTCATGAAACTGGCAGAGAACCTGAGTATTTCTATTAGTTTGCCAGTTTCAGACCAGCTTAGATGCCAAGTTATTATGTTTAAAGATCTGGCTGAAATTATGGAATAATGCTGGTCGATTTTATACTGCGCCTTACTGTGCTAATTACATGATCCTGTTACAGTACTGAACATCCTTTCATAGTTATGGGCTAGTGACAGAAATATTTTTAAATTATTCCTGAAACTCGCAAAAAAAATTAATGGTCATGCTTTCCTTAAAACTAATAAAGAAGATTTTGAATGATATAGTCTAGAAGCTGATCCTGCTACAATAGGATGACAAATCACATTAGATGTCTTACACAATATTACTGGCTAAGTTTAATTTTACTTTTTGACTACCTATTTGTCATCAGGAGCAGAGGCTGAGATATTATGCTTCGATAAGCATTATTATAGCTAACCCATTTGTTTGCCATAAATGCCCTTACAACTAAAGTAACTTTTGCCTATTTGTTGCTGGTATATGTATATTAATTTTACGTCTGAAGTTAGAGATGCGATATGTATTATTATGGTCAGCCTATTTATACCATATCTAAGTACATATCATCGAGCAGTGTTGGTAAAAAGGTGCTCAGACATTCCCTTCCTGCTGGTTGAATTAATATAGCTCTCTAATTATTGAGTGTCTGAGACAAAAATACTAATACTGCTATCAAAATGAAGCCTTTTTCTAATATTTATATAATAGATTACGAAGAAGGCTTCACTTTCAGATACATATATACCACATATACCTAAATACATACTATCGAGATGGAGGCTTCTGCCAATATTTATAATAGATTACACAGAAGCCCTCACTTTCAGATACATGTTCGCTTCTCTTTCATTTACGATTTATTGACTAAATTTGCTATCAGTTCTTTATTACATCTATCGAGATGTAGCCTTTATGCCACACCTGAATATATACTATCTGCCAATATTTATATAATAGATTACACAGAAGCCCCACTTTCAGTTATATATTTATTTGCTTTTCTTTTTACAATTTGTATACTAGATTACTATATGCCTCTTTTTACATCTTCTGAAAAAAATAAATTAAACGTTTCCGAATTTTATAGAGATAGTATAATTTTTAAACTAATATTATGCATATACCAACTATTTTTGACCAAACTGATTACACCAGAACTCTTGCCTGCTATGATGGCGCTGGTCCTGTATAAAGATGGTCCCCATAATTATTTTCAAATTTCAATTGAGTTGCAACTTAATTGCGCTATAAGGAAATTTAATTGC